CATATATTATTTATTTATTTATTTATTTATTTATTTATTTCTACCTTGCTATTACAATTTCTCAAAATGCAGTTTGTGTTCATTTCTGATGATTCTCTATCAAACAAAACAAAGATGTCTTTTATTGAGAGGAAGATTTTAGAGGTCAACTGAGGCTAATTTAAAGCAATAATTAATACCAATGTTGTTAAATGATGATTCAAGCACCCTGCATTTTACAATTTTTCCACCAGGAGCCACCCTGTGCTGTGCAGATTTATCTTGGAATTAGACATTTTCTTATTTCATTCCCAAGAACTTCAGCCCAGTACAAACCCAAAGAAGAGATCCGTGCATGTACAGCCATTACACTTTTAAGCTCTGTTGTATAAGGAAGGGTACAAGATGTAGACTGAATCACTGCAACACAATTAGTAGAAAGCTGGGCTCCTACAACATGCAAACTCAACAACCTTGGACTACAAACCACAATGGTTAAAGTACATTAAGTCATAGCACCGGGCCAGTCATAATGTGGCTTATAATTGTATTTGTGGTAAACCGTGCATTTTGCACCCCCAGTGTTTTGCACACCAATTTGTTTGCGGTTTGTTAATCACAGCTGATGGACGAGCGTGTGTTGAACCCAGCATGAGCAAATGGATTCAGGGAGGGTTCTTCTGTAGCAATTGCTAACCACACAACTTTCTTGGCACGGACTTCCATTAGTTGTTAAACACAGCAGAGGCAGGCTTCCCCCACGACTAACCACAAGAAGTGGGCTGTTCTCTGAAGCATTTTCGGTCACTCAGGCCAGGAAAGAACGGCGTGGGGAAGGGCGATTGCGGGCAAGAAAGCTCCACAGGGCACGGAGGTACCGCAAAGTCTTACCTTTCTGGAGCGAGCCGAGCTCTCCGGTAAAAGGCAATGCAACTACTGGCCACTTTCGTTTCCACGGCAACTTCCAGGCTGGGGAAACAGCTTTGCCCGTTTTCCTTGTGAGCCGACGTCAGAGGCAGGAGGGCGGGCAACGGAAGCAGGGCTGGGCTGGGCTGGGCTGGGCTGCGCGGGCCCGTCGGGGGAAGGCGAAGAGGATAGAAAGAAGCGAGAAGAGCTAAGCACTCGGCGGACGAAAGAGGGCAGGTTCATGCTGAGTTTGCCTCACGGCAACCCCCGTTGCCAAGATTTCCTTAGACACTGGCAAAACAAGACAAGACAAGCGGGCATCGCCCCCAAAGCCTGCCCCCCGTTCCAGACGCAGAAGAGGCACATCATCTTCTTAGCGCGAAGCCTGGCTCATAAAGCCGAGCTGCTCTCCGGCGCAACCCCTTTCGGATGGAAGGCCGTTTTCTTGGCAAGAGGCCGCACCTGAAATTGCCCGATTCCTACCGTCGCCCTTCAGGTGTCGCTGGACGAAAGGCAGGTCCGCCCCCCGCCCGTGCGCCGCTCGCAGTTTGGTCTCGCGCCCCGGGCTTCCCGGCTCCGCGCTTCCAGGGCGGCTGAGCCAGTTACCTCCCGCTCGGGCGTGGCGCAAAAAGGAGTCGCGGCGAAGGAGCGCTGGAGCTCGGGCGGGGTCTCTCGCGTCTCTGGCCTGTCCCCATAGAGGTAGAGTCGGCAGAGCTGAGACGGGCAGTGGTTAAGGACGAAGCGAATACAAGCAATCCAAAGGTTCGCAGCTTCGTCCGACACAGGCTGGTCGCGTTTTGCTTCAGGATAAAATAAACCTGAAGTGAAGGGGGAGAGGGTGCAAGACACTGGAGGGCGATTTTTGAGCTCGGGGGGGTCAGCTCGGCGGAGCGCCGATTAGCTCAGGCGAAGGTCTTGCCATTTGCAGGGAGGGACGACAGCCCCAGGTTGCTTTGACCATGGTTTTAGGATCTGGGGGGTGAAATTGTGCCTTTCTGGAGTAGAATTTAGTTACTTAAATTTCCTTTAGTTATAATGACCAGGTAACATACATTGCCCTAAAAACTAAGCCATACCACGAAGCTATGCAGTCCCACGATGATCTGCAGTGGTGACTGAACAAAATAGATCCACCTTTGGAGCTCCCTGCTGACTTCCCTGCTAAAAGGTTAAATCAGGGCTTCTGAATACTTACTGTTGGGGCATAAATATGTCCGTGAGCCAGACTGAATAAATTGGGTAGTGGGGAAGGGTATGAGCAACTGACTCACATTCTTAAAGCAGGCAAGAGTTAAAGGCATTCTTGCAAAGGAAAGGCATTACATTTCCCTTCTAAGGATGATGAAGTCAGCACACACAACCTGGGTAATGTGAAGAGTCTTGGATGCTGACAAGGTACCAGGCCACTGAGAAGGATCTTTAAAATAAGCTTGAGTTACAGATTGTAACTTAGATTTTTCTGTAGATCAAAGCTGTGATCTTCTGTTTCAGCTTTGGGGCTTTTCCAAAGCCAGCTGAGCTCAGATATTGGGTATAAAAGCCACAAGATTTTAAGGTTAAATTGATTCCAATTATTATTAAAGCGTTAATGTATTTTTAGTGTAATTAAATGAGGGTATTATTGTTAAAGCAACTGAATTGATTGCTTTTTTCAAATAATATGCTGTGTGCTGTGTGCAGCTCTTCGGATTCAATGGCAAAAGATGCTTGGGAGCATGCAGAGGCGCTCATGTGGCTCTGTCTGCAATTCTTATAGCAACTAATTTTTTTTCCCCAGGATCATACCACTACCCTCCAAAGCTGCACTGATTCCAGGAAAAGACACTTGTAGTTGTGCATGCTCTCAAGCAGTATTTTGTCTTTGAATCCAAAATGCTGCTTTAATAAATCACTTTACTGCATTAGAAAGTCATTAAAGCCAAATAAAATAGGAGATTTTATTGTCCTTAAGAGACTTCTCATGAATAATTTGGATCGGTTTGGAAAGCACTTTTTTGGTTTCAGATCTGAAGTGCTGACCTGTCCTAATATGTACCATTTAAAAACAAAATTGCAATATCAGAAAAACCAAAAAAACCACATATTAGTTTATTATTCTGTTTTGAAAAGAAGGCAGTCATATGCTTTTAGTCTAAGCAAGCTTCAAGTTAGAGAGAGATATAAATCAATGATTTAATTAATGCTAAATTTATATTATTTAAACAATGCCATCATTTTTTAACCCAAAGAGTTCCTAATTTAAAATACAACAGAGGGACACAGGATTAGTAGGGAGAGTATAATGCTATTGCTTCAGTTGCACCTACCTGAGCTAGACTGGTACTGCTGCACCTATTTCTGTATTATTTTTCTCTAATTTTGGGGGGCTTCTGTTTTTTCAACCATTGCCTACTAAGCATTTTTCATGGAGTCATTTTTATTCTACACCGAGCTTTCTGCCTCTTAGCCTCTCAGATCACTTGAGTGCAGAGTCTGCTGCAGCAGCACAATTGAAGCATTTTATTAATGAAATAGCAATATTTACATAAGCACTTTCTACTTGCATGACATATAGTGAGAAAATGTATTTTTAAACATTTGAGCAGAATGAAATAAATTGCATAAATAACCATTCACACCCTTTTGAGAGAGGCCGAAACACCTCAATGCCTCAATGTGGCTTGATGGAGACGTGATTTCTTATCATGGAGTTGTGAAAATCGCCTAGGTGAATGCCTGCAGAGCCAACTGAAATGTCTCCAAGCACGACATAGCAAATGGTAACACACTGAAACTGTTTTGTTGTAGTTATTAAAGAAAGTAGAATATGCTGAATTATACCATTTACATTTCTAGAATGTGACATGCCAAATGTTATATTTACACTTCACAGTGTTATATTAAACATTGTAGTACTCTAAATACCTACAGTGCTGCATAGGATAATGGAAATCAAGAAAGTCAAGAAACTTGGATACAAAAGATTTGATTTTGAAGCCATTTTTCTGAACAAACTTGAGTATAGTAGTTAACTTTTTTTTTCATTTTTTTTTCATTTCTATAGCACTTTTTCCATAGAGCTATAAAAACACCTCAGCTTATGTCTGTGACCTGAAAAATGAAAGGTCTGGAAAATGAAATAGGACTAAAAAGTCTTGGTATAAACTGCACCAAGGGGTATTCAGCTCCTTTTCAAAATTCTTTGATGAGGAAGACAAGGAATTTATTACAGAATGGGAACAAATTTCATGATACACACTTCATATGCTTCTGTGATGAAACCTGTTACGTTATTGCATGTAATTGCAGTGACATGATGCTAGATTCCAAGATGACATTGGATACATATCCTGTGCATACCATTGACAGGTTAATCCTACAGTATTTTTGTACAACTGGGAAAAAAAGGTCAGAAACCTGCTAGGAAAAACACTCTGAAACAATTTGGCATATACAGTGGGGCAAAAAGCCACAAATTGTGCAAGTTCTCCCACTTAAAAAGATGAGAGAGGCCTGTAATTTTCATCA